CAAACCTCGTTTCCTCCCAATCTGAGAAAGCTAGGATTGAGAGGCACAGATTACCGCCCCCCCCCCGCCCCAAGTAATGAAAACTCAACTCAGTCCTGTTAAAATACCCTTCCTGGCCAGGTGTGTGGGTGCACATCTGTAATCCCAGCACTCCAGGAGCACGAGTTCGAGACCAGCCTGGACCACGTAGCAAGGCCGTGTCTCATACCTTGACTCAAAAGATGGGGGGTGGGGTCATAAAATGTTCTCTGAAATGAACTTGTCTTCACATCTCAGTTAAGCCAAATACGATTGTTCTCCACCGTTTAACCCTCTATATTTGTAAAGAGTTTGACCTCAGCCTGGCAGTTGTTTCATGGGTTGGAGTGGTCTTTTAGGGCTCAAGTTTTCCTTCTGCAGCCATCTTCCATCAAGATACTGTAGGGCCATTCCTAGGACCCTTGATGGTGGAAAAGAATGGAAAGGAGTGAGAGACCTTTCTCGTCTCCGAGCTCCATTGGCTTCGAGAGGATAAGGAGAAGGTTCGGGCCCCGCCCTTTCACAGTCCTCTGAGGAACAGATGGCGCAGTGCAGTTCTTGCCTGTAAAGTGTCATGAGCAAAAGGGGTTAAATGATCCTCAGGTTTAAATACAGACCAAAGACACGCAGTTGCCCCTGGGCAGGGTTCCCGGTGCCCAGCCCGCCCAGAACCTGGATGTAGAAGAGGATTTGTGTAGTCTGCGCAGCTTCCCCTGTACTGCCCGTGCGTCATCTCGCATTCCTCACAATGGCCAGCGCAATTCGAATGCTAGCTAAAAAGTTACACTATCGGGGTGGGGATTTAGCTCAGTGGTTCCGTCACCGACCTTGCAAGCACAAGGACCCGAGTTTGATCCCCGGTACAAAGAGAGAAAAAAGAAAAAGTTACACTGTTGTTTAGGGCATAACAAGGAAAAAAGCTTAGTACACACGTGACTTCTCTCAGCGTTGTTTGTTATTATTATTACTTTGGTACCGGGGATTTAATTGAGGATCTTGCACTTTGCAAGGCTGGTGCAGTGCCCCTGAGCTAAATCCCCAGCCCTATGTGTTTATTTTTTGAGACAGTCTCACCATGTACTTAAGGCTGGTCTTGAACTTAATATGTAGCCCAGGCTGGCCAGAACTTGTGGTAATCCTCCTGCCTCAGCCTCCTGAGTGTTGGCATTACAGGTGTGTACCACTTTGCCTGGGTTTATGTACTTATTTATGGTCCTGGTGATTGAGCCTCCCAGAGCCTTTGCACTGAGCCTCATGCCCAGCCTTTATTTTTTTATTTTTTTTGATACCTTGCACTTGTGAGGAAGGTGGTGGAACCACTGAGCTAAATCCCCAGCCCATCTTTTAAAATTTTGTTTTGACACAGGGTCTCACTAAGTCACCAAGTTGCCAGGCTTGGGCTTGAACTTGCTGCACTCTTCCTGCCTCAGCCCCCAGAGTGCTGGGATTATAGGTGTGCGCCAGTGCTCCTCTTGGCTCCCTTGGCTGTCAGTACCTTCAGTCTGCAGTTGGTTGCCTCCATGGACGTGGACTCCGTGGGTATAGGGGTCCAACTATGCGTACCCTGGAAGTGTAATCTTATGAGTGCAGGCGGCAGCAGCTTGCAGGTTAAAGGCCGGAATTGTTTAATGTAAAGCAAGTTTCTCCATTAGTGTTTATGAAAGTATGGGGACTTCTCTTACCAGAAGTGTCTAAGCTGGACGGACTCCCAGCTAGTGGGAGCAAAGGTCACAGTGAGAGCACAGTCCCTGGACTCTACCATTCGTTTTGTGTACGTCCTTTATTTAGGAATGAAAAGAATCTATGCCAACAAAGATATGTAAAGCAGAACATAGATAGAAGTTTTTGTTTGTCCGAGACAGGGTCTCCCTGTGTAGTTCAGGCTGGCCTTGAACTCATTATGGAGCCCAAGCTTGCTTCAAGCTCACAGCAATCATCCTGCCTCAGCCTCCTGAGGACTGGGGTCACAGGCATTTATCACCACATCTGCCTCAAGTTTAAGTCTTTTATGCCAAACCAAAATAATGTGGGCCACCAGCAAAAATATTATTCATTAATACTCATTAGAAACCTCTTCCAGACAGCAGTGAATAAGAAGGGGATGTATTCAAATAATTATTACTGACAAAAGAGGGGTGAACATGACCTCAATTAAAGAATCTGATTTTTTCTTCCTGCATTGGGGATTGAACACAGGACCTCACGCACAGTAAGTGCTGTACAACTGAATTATATACCCAATCCTTTTTTTAAGTTTTAAGACAACTTTGTACAGTGGCACACACCTATAATCTAGCACTTGAGAGGCTGAGGCAGAAGATCATCTTGAGTGCAAGGCCAGCTGAGGCTGTACAATAAGACCCAGTCTCAATAAATAAATAAATAAAAATTTTAAGACAAGGTCTGTGGCTCATAACTAATTCTAGCATTCTGGGAGGCTGATGCAGGAGGATCAGGATTGCAAGTTTGAGCCCATCTTGGGCAATTTAGTGACTCAGCCAGGCATTGTCTCAAAAAAAAAAAAAAAAAAGAATATGTATATGTATATATGTCCCCCCCAATATATATTTTGGGGGACTTGAGACAGGGTTTCACTGTGTAGTTCAGACTGCTCTGGAACTCACTGTGTAGCCCAGGCTGGTCTCGAACTCGCAGTCCTCCTGCCTCAGCCTCCCAGAGTACTGGGATTCCAGGTGTGTGCCACCACGCCTGGCTTCAAAATATTTTTTTAAAAGTTTTTTTAAAGGGCTGGGGATGTACTTCAGTCTGAAGGTCCTAGGTTCAAGCCTCAGTGTTACAAAACCAAACCAAAAAAACAGGGTCTGGCTAAGTTGCTGAAGCTGGACTTGAACTTTCAGTCTTCTCCCTAAGCTCCTCTGGCAGCACGATGCCTGGCTACTGCTTGTAATTTTAAGAAATCAAAATGTTAGCTCAAACATTGTCTTTAGAAAACCAGAATGTGCCACAGGAAGCCACGGCTGCCACCCTCGGGGATCACTGAGTTGACTCTCAGAGGTGCGGGAGGTTGTGGAAAGCCGGCCCCAGCAGGCAGTGTCAGCTGTGTGAGGCTGGCTCTGGGGAGCTGAAACACAGAAGGTTTCACGGTCGAAGAGCACGGCAAGCTGTTCAGCATCTTGAGTTCTGTGGAGGCTGAGTAAGGGCCCTGAGCTGTCAGTGTCTCCGATCTGTGATCTGTGGCTCCTCAATGCCACCATCCCATGCTTGGGAGCCACACAGATTGGGTTACTTTATCCAGCAGTCAGCCCTCTGTATTGATTCAGAGAATTTAAGACTATTTATGAGGTTCAATACATGGGTATTTTATTTTCAATACAGATGATTCAACCCTGAGCCTCTGCACTGAGCTACATCTCCAGCCATTTATTTATTTGTGTTTTTGTTTTGTTTTTTTTGGACCAGAGATTGAACTCGGGTCCTTGTGCTTTCAAGGTAGGTAGAACTACTGAGCCAAATCCCCAGCCCTATTTCTGTGGTGTTTTTTTTTTGGGGGGGGGTTGCTTTTTTGAGACAGGGTCTCACTATGTAGTTGAGACTGAACTGGAACTCACTATGTAGCCCAGGCTGGTCTCGAACTCACAGCGATCCTCCTGCCTCAGCCTCCCAAGTGTCTGTTTTTTTAAGACAGAGTCTCACTATTTAATTCAGGCTGGGCTTGAACTTGCAACCCTCCTGCCTCAGCCTCTTGGGCAGCTGGGATTACAGGTGTGTGCCACCATGCCCAGCTACATGGATATTACCAGTTTACCTTTCATCAGATGTATCAGACAGGATCCCAATAGAGAGAATATGCTCGTGTGCTCAGAAGAATGAAGCTTTTTTTTTTTTTCTCAGACAGGGTCTCACTATGTAGTTCAGGCTGGTTTTGAATTGTGTAGTTCAGGCTGGCCACGAACTTGAAGTGATCCTCCTGCCCAGGTCTTCTAAGTGCTGGATGACAGATGGGCATCACTGTGCTTGGTGAAGGGCTATTTTTAAAGTATATGGGCACCTGCTGGGTGTGCTAGTACCCGCCTGTAATCCCAGCACTTAGGAGGCTGAGGCAGGAGGATCACCATGAGGTTGAGACCAGCTTAGGCTACATAGTGAGACTGTCTGAAAACAACAAAAAGAGGAAGGGTACAGGACGAGTTGGTATCTGGAGTTTAGTAACAGTCTAGACTGAAAAAGAGGAAGGTAGGGCTGAGGATGTAGCTCAGTGGCACCTCGCCTGCCTTGCAAGTGCAAGGTCCTGAGTTCAGTTCCTGGTACCAAGGAAAAACAAAAAAGGCGAAGGGAAGTGGTGCTGACTGGGATGTCGATGCCCTGAGGGAAGCAGTGATGCCTACAGGCGGGCAGCGGGGGAGCTCACCGGAGGGCACCTGGGAGGCCGGGACGCTGCTTCGAGTTTTCTGCTCCTTTCCCACCAGGGCTCCTGTTGGCCGAACGCAGTGGGGGCCGCAGTGCTGAAGCCCCCACGAAAGTCACACCGGGTCAGCCTCCCAGGACGGAGCGGAGGTGCGGAGGGAGGAGGGCAATCTGGAAAGACAGGAGACACGGCAGCCCCTGTGTCAAGCAGGTCCCGTCATCCCTGAGGTTGCCTTTGCCTCTGCTGTCCAAGGGCACGGTCAGCAGCAATATGCAGATGGCCCTTAATTTGCTTTGGAACAAAATCTACTATGGGGAGCTTGTGGAAACGGCTCTGTGATGTCAGCTTTTCTTTGCCTAGGAGCAGCGTTTGGGAGAGGAGAGGTTTATTTCAGCGGCTCCAGTTCATTGTCAGCTGACACCTCCACCCAGGACAAGACAGGAACATCCGGGTGAAGGGCCTCACTCTATAGCACAGGCTGGCGTTGAATTCATGGAGATCCTCCTGCCTCAGCCTCCTGCTGCGACTATAGGAGAGCACCACCGTGACCCACTCTTTTAAAAAAAAAGGCATTTGGGGGCTGGAGATGTAGCTCAGAGGAGAGGCACTTGTACAGCATGTGTGAGTCCTGGGCTCAGTCCCCGGTAGCACACCACGCATGCACACATGCACAGAAGAGCCCTTCTGAGCACTGCAGTGGACGGGACATCTCCGGCAGGCGCAATGGTCTGTTCTACCCTGGCCACCGGTGGGCACTGCACTCCTCCCAGGCTGCTCCTTGTACCCACTTCTAAAGGAACTCGATGTGGAGCTAGAGGGAGCTCCTTATGAATGAAGAAGCTGAGAAGCCAGCAGAGCAAATCCATTCCTTCCCAGCTTCCCTGAGTCTGGTGTTTCCCCTGCCACCTCAGCACTGATTCTCATGAAAGACAGAGTAATTTCCTTTGGCTACTCTTCTCCCTTGGTTGCTTTCAGAGAAAGGGATGGGGTTCCGGGGAGGGAGAAGAATGTAAAACGTACGTTCAATAGTCAAGAAGAGCCGGGGATTTAGCTCAGTGTTTCCATGGCTTGCCTCACAAGCACCAGGACCCGAATTCAATCCCTGGCACCAAACCAAACCAAAAACAAGCAATCAAAAGCTCTCCCAAGCTGGGCATTGGGACACATGCCTGAACCCTAGCACTTAGGAAGCCGAGGCAGGAAGATTGCCACAAGTTCGAGCCAAGTCTGGGCCACATGCTGTTAGAGTTCCAGGCAAACCCAGACCACATACTGAGATCCTGTCAGAGCAGAAAAATTCCCTCTTCTCACTTCACTTGTTCTTCGTTTTGTTGGGTTTTAAGACAGAGCCTTGCTGTATATAGCTCAGGATGGCCTCAAACTCTTGGAGATCCCCCTGCCTCAGCATCCTGAGTGCTGGGATTATAGGCGTTCACCATCATGCCTGGCTTCTCACTTCAGTTCTTACCTCAGTTTGCTCTGCTTATCAAGAATACCAGGGCCGGGGATTTAGCTCAGCGGTTCGGTGGCCTGCCTTGCAAGCGCAAAGACCCGAGTTCGATCCCCGGTACAAAAAAGAATACCAGGCTTAGGGGCCAGGGATCCAGCTCAGTGGTTCTGCTACCTGCTTTGCAAGTGCAAGGTCCCGAGTTCGATCCTGCGTACCAAAACAACCCCACCGCAAACAAAAAATACCGGGCTGAAAAGGACAGCTAGATAAGAAAAAGACAGAGGGCAGAAGATCAGAGTGATACTAATTTTTACCAAGAGATGAAAAATGAATTCAGCGATACTGAAATGTGACTTTGATATTTTATTAAGAAACATCTTTATTTAAAAGATAGTACAAAATTGTATATATAATATAGATCTTTATAGGTGTATATACATATAAATGCTCATACACAAACTTGCTCCTAAGAGTCAAACTGCACCCTCAATAAAAGAAGTACATTTAAATTTTCCTAATTACACACTGTACATAAAGCTGTCAGGCAACCTGAAAAACAGGACTCTGCAGGAAGAATCGACCCTCCCCAGCGGCCTTGGTAGGGAGCAGGAGAGCTGCGGGATCCTGAGGCCAAGGGGAAGCACAGCTGGAGAGGGTACAACCTGGAATCCTCAGAAACAAACCGCACTGCGTGGGAACACACACAATCTGTGCGGGGCGAGGCAGGAGGACAAGGCCCAGGATGAGAAATGACCTGCTAATGAAGTCCTAGCGCCTCAAGGGAAAGACTCGGGGGACAGAACAGCAGCAGCGCATCGCAGAGGCGAGTGGAGGCCGGGGGGAGGGAGCGAGACCTGGACCGCTTCCTGCTGTTAAGAAGCCCAACTGCGGCTCGGGAACCTCACTCCTCCCCCTCATCCTAGAGGCAGAAAAAAGGCTGCGGCAGCAGCAGAGGCGCAGGGCTGTTAATTCTGATTCACATCCTCCTCGCTCCAGGTCTCTAAATAAACTGGCAAAGGGAAGTGTTAACTGAAGGGGCAACAGTTCCGTAAAGTGGGGCGGCCTCTGCTGGAGGGGCGCTGGGTGTGCAGGAGCGGAAGGGGAGGCCGTTCTCCATAAATCAGGACAAGGCTCCGCCCACCGAGAGAGGCTGCCAGCTCCGGTCCGCAGAGTCTCACGAGCTCCCTCGGAACATCTGCCTCTAAACGACCGATTCCGAGCCTGGGAAAGCGGACTATGGAAAGCTGCGTCCTCCTGCCACGGCCCTGTATCTGCAGTCTGTGGTTCCCCCACCCCCCGCCTGCTGTCGGATGAGGGCAAAGAAATGCCTTTTCTTCTTCAGCCCATTCACTGAATCCAAAGAAACTTTTTCTTTTTATTTTGGTACTGGGGATCGAACTCAGGACCTTGAGCTTGCAAGGCAGGCTGCAGAACCACTGAGCTAAATCCCCGGCCCCCACCTCTCTTTTGAGCTAGGGATCTCACTATGTAGTCCAAAATGACCTTGAACTCACAGTGATCCTCCTGCCTCAGCCTCCCAAACGCTGGAATTACAGGCGTGCACCACCACACCCGGCGGAAACCTTTTCCAGGTAAAACTTCTCCATGTTATACCAGGTATTTTAGAGCTGAACCTCAAATAAAGAGAAAAGTAGAAAAATTTCAAAAATTTACAAACATATACTAACACATACCTAGAAAAGGGGTATAAAAGCTACCCTGGTCATAACAATACTATCTTCAACTGTAGAGAACTTCTGGGAGAATCATTACTTTTACACAGATATAAAGAAAAAATCATTTTGTTTGCCATAAACTTCTAATATTAATGAGAAGACACAAAATTGTTTTGGTGGGGGGGCACTGGGGATGGAACTCAGGACCTTGCGCTTGAAAGGCAGGTGGCGGGGCCACTGAGCTAAATCCCCAGCCCCAAGACACAAAAATGATGATGCAGGAGTGAGGCTGAAGAAGAGGGCAATGCAAAGTAAAAAATGACTAACTGTATATCTGACAAGAAAAAGAACATCTTTTTGTTTGGACACCGGGGATGAAACTCAAGACCTTGGCTTGTGAGGCAGATGCGGTGCCATTGCGCTAAATCCCCGGCCCTTTTTGTTTTTGAGATGGCGTCTTTCTATGCAGTCCAGGCTGGCCTCAAACTTACGGTGATCCTCTTGCCTCAGCCTCTCAAGAGCTGGGATTACAGGTGTGCACCTCCACACCCAGCTAAAAGAACATCTTAAGGCACTGAGTTCAAAACAGAAAACCCGAACACCAAGCTCTCCCACGTTTCAATCACAGGACCTCAAGTCTGGCATTATGTTTTGTCTCTGGTTCTGGGGATTGAACTTGAGACCTTGCACTTGCAAAGGAGGCAGTGGCACCACTGACCTAAATCCCCAGCCAAAGTTGGCTTTATAATTAGGAGGTCCCACAGAGGTAGTGACAGGAAGGGAGCAAACACTTAGACACTGGTAGTTAATTTCCCTGAAGCGAAAGATAAGAACAGAAATATATAGATATTTTTCCCTTTTTCTTGGGGAAAGGCGTAAGACTACAGTGCAAAGGCAGATTCTAAAATCCCTGACATTAATACTGATACTGCTGATGCGGCTTTATCTTAAATAAACAGCCGTCCTAAGCTCCACGTCTCCAGGCTCCAGCGCCAACTCTGAGCCACTTGTGCTCTCTGATTTGTAATAACCCAGCCTTGCCAGTAAACCCGCCAGTCCACATCTAAGCCATGTTTCCCCAACTCTCACGACTGATCCAGAGAGATATGTACAATCAGGAAATGGTGCTGCAGTAACGCATTCGTATGTAATTTCCAACCTTCTTCGAAGCAGCTGACCTATAAGGCAACTTAACAGAAGATCAAATACTACTCTCCTCTCTGGCAGCGAACAGGACTATTCCAAGTAAATGAAATGAACTCCCTTCCGCTTGGCCCTTTTCTTCACTGCTTGCCTGCCCTCCCTTCCTTCCTCTCTCCCGAACCTCTCCTCTGACAAAGCCCTCTCTCAGGGACCCCATCATCAAGAATGCCTTGGTGTGCATTAGAGGTTTTAGGGAGAAGGGAGGGAAGATGATGTCCAGAAATGAGAGCTCCTGATCGGTTTCCCCAAAATGGGACTCTGTATGTTTAGAAGAAAGTATTAGACACTTTCCCCTGGAGGCTGAGGCAGGAGGGTCGCCAGAAGTTTGAGGCCAGCCTAGGCGACACAGTGAGTTCAAGGCCAGGCCGAAATACATAATGAGAACCTGTCTCCAAAAAAAAAGATTCTCCACCCACAGTCGGGTTGGGGATTAAAGTCACCACATGCACAGGGACACAGAGACATTCAAATGAAACCTGGCCCCTTGATAGTGAAGCTAAGGATCTGAGATGCAATGCACAGCGGCCTATTCTTGGCACCTGGTTCCCAAAAGGAGCCAACAAGAGAAGGTTGCAAACAGCAACAGGGCCATCTGACAGCAGGGACAGGTTTCAGCCCCACCTTGCCTGCATTCCCGTCATCCTCTGCGGCCCAGGACAATCTCTGACCGTCTGCGGGGTGCCGAGTGCTCAGACCCGTGAGAAAGCCCAATGCAGCCAGCAACCAGGGTTCATTTCCAACTTCTAACAGCAAATTCTCCCAGTAAAATCTGGTTTGAGGAATTATATTTTCAGTCTATTTTGAGCCCCAAAGGAGGCTGTACCTCTGGAACACGGTAGCAAATTACTAGTCGTGGTAGACAGAACTGTGTCAACTGTTAAGTCCCCCTCCTAAAAAATGCATGTTTTCCTCATGATCGTTAATTAGGAAAACCATATTCTAAACAGTCATTCAGATGTTTACCGGGCACATGTCTCTCTGCTTTCTTCTTCTAACTTAAAAACAGGCAAACAAGCAAATCTAGAGCGATGGAGAGCGACTTCGAGGGCAATGACCTGGGAGGTAACCTCTCTACAATGCCCGCTCCGCCCGGACGCCCTTCACACTGACAGGAAGAAAACCCACAGAGAAACACTTGCCCTGTCCTGTGGAGGGCAGGCATGGTGGGAAGGGGCAGGGAGGCAGCGGCGGGGCCAACCTCGGGCCCTTTCACTGCGGCACAGGCAGCTGTCGCTCCCGTGTCCGCACACAGCACAGCAAAGCATGGAGCTCTATGCAGGCCCAAACTCAGCAACAACAGTTTACTTGCACTGAATCAAACGGAAATAGAACCGTCCCTCTTCTCTTCTTCTCCTTGCATTTAAGAGGAGGGACGCTACAAAGAAAAGCAAACATCCTAAGTGACACGGAAATTCAACAAGGTCTTACAAAATTAAAGAGCCTGAGCTTGATATTATATAAATGTGTGAAAGCAAGTAGTTCTGACAATGGACTCCCTCCTTACTGCAACTCCTTAAATCCGGCCAGTGCAAGGTCAGTAACTGAAGCCCAGTTTCAAAATCCTGTAAACCTCTGTTTGGCCACTTTCCAGCACTATGGGTATTGGGGTTTTATATACACTTCTACCTCGCAGACAAGCTTCCTGTCTATGGTTTTTGTTGCTTTGAGGCAAGGTCTTACTATGTAGTTCAGTTTGGACTTGAACTCGCTGTGTAGCCCAGACAGTGATCCCGCCTCAGCCTCCTGAATGCTGGGACTGCAGGTGTGCACCACCACCATGCCTGGCTTCTATCCAGCTTCTTCGTTTTTGGCACCAGGAATCAAACTCAGGACCTGTGCTTGCCAGGCAGGCGCCACGTTGCTGAGCCACATCCCTGGCTCTAAACCCAGCCCTTTCTTTTTTTCCTTGCCCTCATGTATGCTAAGCACTCACACTCACCATACTCACTCTACAACTAAGCACAGACTCATCTCTTTCTTGGTGGCACTAGGGACTGAACCCAGGGGTGCTTTACCATGAGCTACATCCATTTTGTGGTGTTTTGTTTTGTTACTGAGGATCGAACACAGGACCTTATGCTTGGGAGACGGGTGCGATGCTCCTGAGATAAATTCCCAACCCAGTCTTTTTGTTTTGAAACACGGTCTCCCTAAGTTGCACAGGCTGGCCACTAATGTGCAATCGTCCTGCCTCAGCCTCCCTAGTAGTTGTGATTACAGGTTTGTAAAACCATGCCCAGCTATTTTTGTTTCATAAATTGGCACCAGAGCTACACACATATAATGGACACAAATTTGTAAAGGATCATTAAATTTCTTCTCAATGAAATGAACTCAGGATAGTTGGGAGTCCTGCTCATTTGGAAGTGGAATATTCTGTCCTGTTCTCTTCCCCAAAGCCTGCTTCTAAGTTCCCTCCTGATTAATCTCCTAAATTTAAGGCAACATTTCAGGTCACTTGATGGTATAATTATTACAGACTCCTGGTATGTATGTATTAGGAACATTATTTCAAAAAGCTTTAATAAAGTCAGTTATTTAAAAAACAATCAACCGACAATATCAACACTATCTCTATGCTTAAAGCAGTGATGTGAACTGAGAAATTTGGTCTTTACTGTTTTGGTCCCTTAGAAGTATTTGTTAAATACGACTTTGAGCTTTCCAGTTGCATACAGAGCCTTCCTGGGCACAAGCACTGTTCCCTGCTAGAGCTGTTGCTTGTTGTTTCTGTTTTCAGTGCCGAGGTTCATACCCAGGCCTTGTACACAATAGGCAAGCGTCTACCACTGAGCTTCACCTCCTGCCTACAGTTTTCTTCAGGACACTCAGTTTTTATACAGTATTCACCCTCTGCGTTATTTTCTCCTCCTCCTTTTGTGGTATGAAGATTTGAACTTAGGGCCCTGCACGTGCTAGCCAAGCACTCTGCAACTGAGCTACACCCCAGCCCTTTTCTGAAACAGGGTCTCACTGAGTGGCCCAAGCTGGCCTCAAACTTCCAATCCTCTTGCCTCAGCCTCACAAGTAGCTGAGGTTACAGGTATGTGCCACCGTGCCCAGCTGAATTTTCTTCTTAAAAGAGAAATAAGATGAACACAATGCAAGCTGTGGATCTTGCTTGTTAGGATGAAACAGTTTCCATAGAAACTCCAGTATGAGGCTCTGTGGCACCTCCTGACCTAGTCACTTCTGCTCCTCTCTCTTCCTCCTCTCTGTCTGTGATTACTACAGCGTCTACCTCAGCTATCTCTTCAACCACGGCGAAATCAATTCCATTGGGCTGTTGTCGGGCCATGGCCTCCAGCCTAAGGCGGTACTGTTCTGCCTCCTGCTCTTTCTTTAGGAGCTGGTGCCGGTATTCCTGGGCTCTTCGATTGGCCTCCTGGAGTTGCTGCTGTAGTAACTCTCTTTCGCTGCCCTCCTGTAAAGTAAACCATGTCATCACTGGGTATTTCTGATCTCAGATCACCCAGAAAATAAAAAGGATGAAGAAGGCCTTAATTCTTATGGTTTTTGATTCTTGCCTTTTTCTTCTGTCAGTGCTGAAAATAGTATTACCTTACGCTCCTCCACAATATTTGTCATCTCTCCCATCCTTGCTTTCTTTGTCAGTGGTAACTTCTCTGCTTCTTCCTCTTCCTCCTCAATCACAGTCTCCTCTGCAACCTGACCAGCAGGTACAGTTAGAACTATAAGCCAAAGGACACCAGTTAGAGGTGATGGATACACAATAAAACAAAGAGGTTTTGTTTGCTTTTAACTACAAAATAAAGTGAAATATATTCTGATATAGTTTTTCTTTTTTTGGGGGGGGGTATTGGGGATTGAACTCAGGACCTTACACTTGTGAGGCAGGCGTGGTGCTACTGAGCTACATCCCTGGCTGATGTACTGTTTTTCATATTTTTTGGATTTCAGAATCAAAGGTAAGGAATGCCCTGAAGAGAGAAACCAAGGATTAAAGAGGCACTTAGAAGGGATCAGAAAGGAAGGGTACAGACTTGCAGGCTCAGAATCATAAAGATAAATCGAAGGCCTGAGGCTCCCACAGAAAGATATCTGACACCAGGTCAGCAGCCAGGACCACTTAGCTCACTAACTCTGCAAAAATAACTCACCTCCAGAGGTCAGTAGGCCAAGAGCTACACCACTGGTATAGCTCAAAGGTAGAGCACATGCGTACTATACACAGGGCCCTGGGGCAATCATCAGTAACAAACAAACAGGAAAGGCAGGAAGGAAGGAGAGAAAGGCAGAAGTCTTCACGTAAGATTGTTAAGAAACCTCTAATGAAAGCAATTAGGCATTAACAATACCAAAAAAGAGTTATTTCTCTTCTCACAGAAGTGAGCGGGACAACACAACACGACATACGCTATGTACTGCACATCTACTGGAATGCCAAAAAAATTTTAAAAATTTTTCTGGCACTGGGAAGTGAAATCAGGACTTTTCGCTAGACAGGCAGGCGTGGTGCCACTCGGCCAGATCCCCAGCCCTGGAACACCAAAAAATTTTAAAATGATAATACTCCGTCCTGGAGAAGATGTAGAACTGGATTGCTCACAAATTGCTAAGTAGGAATGTAATATGGCATAGCCACTCTAGAAGACAGTTCAGTAGTTTCCTCTATCTTTTTGGTGTGTGTATGTGTGGTACTGAGGACTGAACTCAGGAACTTCATAGTGAATTGCATCCCAGATTCTTTTTATTTTTTATTTTGAGATAGGGTCTCAAATTCTTTAGGCTGGGTCTAAATTTACAATCCTCCTGCCTCAGACTCCCAAAGCAATGGAATTACGGGCATGCATCACCATGCTCGGTTGATAGTTCAGCAGCTTCTTACAATATTAAACACGCACTTACCGTAAGACCCAGCAATTGCATACCTGGGTACGGATCACATAAAACCCTGAACATGATTGCTCATAACAGCCTTATTCTCAGTCAAAAACTGGAAAGGATTCAAATGTCATCAATGGGTAAATGGTGAAACAAACTGTGGTATATACTCTCATGGAATATTATTCAGCAATAAGAAGGAATAAATTTCCTTCTGTCTGTCTTTCTTTTTGGGGGGGAGACAGGGTCTTCCTATGTATTTCAGGATGGCCTTGAACTCCCACTGATCCACCTGTGTCAGCCTCCAAAGTGCTAGGATTACAAGTGTGTGCTACTATGTTTGGCAAAAAGGGAAAAAACTATTGATATGAAGAACTTGGATGCATTTTAAGGGACTTATGCTGAGCTAAAAAGCCAATCTCAAAGCTGGGTGTGGTATGCATGCAGGTAATCCCAGAACTCAGAAAGCTGAGAGTTCAAGGCCCACCTGGG